CCCTATAATAGGGGGTTAAACACTTTTAAAAGGCCAGAGGGAGCGCTGAAATGTTTATTAAACTAAACACTCTGAAATGAGTCATACATTCAATGCTCCCAAGAGGTGGTATAAAAGCCCTGGACACCTGCAACCTTCTCCACCCCTCTGCTCGAGTCTCTTGTTCGCTTCTCTGCTGCTACTGCGCTTGGTAAGTCCATTGTAACTTATTTACTTATTTACTAAACGTTGTGCATCGTCCACCCTGTGAGCAGGCTCTGAGCGATTTACAACATTGTAGACATTTAAAATAGAATTAATACATAGTTAAAATTACTAAAAATAAATCAAGAGATTTAAACCAAATCAAGATGGCAATAAAGTACTCCTCCTTTGCCGACCAAACCGCCGTCCCATACGGCAGGTCTGCAAGGGTATGCGGGGGCCATAGAAGAAAAAGAGAGGGTGCCCGTCCTAATCTCCCATTGCCGCCCTCAACTAAAACTCGGGAAACATGGCAAGGTTGAGCAAACGTAGAAAAACACCGTATTGGAACAAAACGCACCATACTATTATGCTACAATCCAAAGAATGATTAACACATGGAATTCACTGCCACAGGAGGTGGCGGCGGCTACAAGCATGTACGGCTTCAAGAGGGAATTAGACAAGCACATGGAATAGAGGTCCATCAGTGGCTATGAGCCATAAGGTATAAATAGGAGCTCTCAGTCTGGGGCAAGGGATTCTCTGTACTCTTGGTGCTTGGGGGTGCAACAGGGAGGGCTTCTAGTGTCCTGCTGGACCTCCTGATGGCCCCTGGTATTTTTTGGCCACTGTGTGACAGAGTGTTGGACTAGATGGGCCATTGGCCTGCTCCAGCATTGGCTTCTCTTATTCTCTTACTTTATCTTCGTATATTGATATAAATAATATACTTGAATACAATAGAGACCCTAGTGTATCTTATTCATTACAGTACAATAATGAATAAGATACACTAGGGTCTCTATTGTATTCAAGTATATTATTTATATCAATGTATATAGATATAGTAGCATAATAGTATTGTGTGTTTTGTTCTAACAGGGTGCTTTTCTATGGGTGCTTTCCCACAAGCACTGCTCCGCGCTCACTCTTCTCTTTGGCCCGATGGTATGTGTCAATTTCACACAAGCTGCTGTGCGACCGCATTTTGCCCCACAGCTTTGTACGATTTTCCCCGCCTCTACTCAATCCTGTTTTTTGAGGATTGAGTAGATGCGGGGGAAATCGCACGAAGTTGCGGGGCAAAATGCGGCTGCGCAGCAGCTTGTGTGAAATTGACACATACCAACGGGGCAAAAGGGAGGAGTGAGCGCAGAGCAACGCTTGTGGGAAATCACTCTATGTTTGCCCTCAACTAAAAGCATGGTGGAACGTCTCTGCTTTACATTGCATCAAACCCTGCACGGCCCTGATTTTGTTCGACAGAGAGTTCCACCAGATCTGGGTCAGGATCCAAAAGGCCCTCATTGTATATGAAACACACAATATGCAAATCTACATTGTATATGACATATATGGTAAGAACGCAAGACAGAAAGTCAGGAAGTGAGTTGAGGAAGTGTCTCCTTTGGAAAAGGGTTTTGATTCGACCAGTGACATTTCTCACCCACGAATGTTCGCACCTGAAGGAAGGAAGGAAGTAGAGGTCACCTGGAGACATCCTGAGGCACTGGGATAAAAAGAAGTGCAGGTGGCTCTCTGGAAAACAGACAGGTGTTGAGGTAGAAATGCGCCTACACATGTTAATGGGGATCCAAGATGGCGGCAACGAGATAAGCACCTGTTGGAGCTCTTTGCAAGTTAATTTTAATCTCATTTATTTGCCTCTTCTATACAACTCGACTATTTTCCTGTTCGGCACGACAAGCTGTTACATTTTTTTATAAATTTGCCTTCAAAGGCCGCAGCTAGCACAGGCTTTGAAATCTTATCTTAATTCCTTTGTGGGAGGAAACACCCCACATTATAGACACTGAGGAATGTAAGGGCTGGGACGTTAGTCGTTAAAAGATGTTGCACACTAAAGCTACAAGTCATTATGTTGTCGAAGGCTTTCACAGTCGGAGCTCATTAGTGGCTGCAGATTTTCCGGGTTGTGAGGCCGTGGTCTTGGCATTGTAGGACCTGATGTCTTGTCAGTGCCTGTGACTGGCATCCTCAGAGGTATACCACAGAAAGATGGAGTGCTCTCCGTGTCAAGACAAAGTCTGTGTCTCACCTTGACACAGAGAGTACTCTGTCTTTCTGTGCTATACCTCTGAGGATGCCAGTCACAGTTACTGGTAAAACGTCAGGTTCTACAAGGCCACGACCACAGCCTCACAACCTGGAAAATCTACAGCAACTACAAGTCATAACAATTAACTTTTTAAAATAATGTTAGATTTTTAAAGCTTTCATCCAACACACTCTGCTAATGGAATAGAAATGCACTGAGGAAATGTGTATGGTGCCCCTCCAGATCCTAAGTCACCTGCATGGATGAGATGAATGGTGGAAGTCCCACACATTCAATTTTCAGCTCATATTAGGGTTGTCACTCACCACCCAGGCGTGATCTGGCAATCTCTTAGAATTGCAACCGATCTCTGGACAAGTAGAGATCATCGCTCCTGGATTAAACACTATAGAGTATGGATTAAACACTATAGAGTATGGACTTTATAGTGTTATACCACCTGGGACAAAGGTTATCACTGTGACTTTGATTGTTTTTTTTCTTCAGCCTGTCACATTGCTATTTCCCTTCCTTTCATAATTTAATTCCAGACTCACCTCCACCTTCCCAAGATGTCCTGCTGTCCTCCATCCTGTGCCACCCCATCTTGCCCCAAGCCTTGCTGCCCTAGTCCATGCTGCCCCCCATGTGGCTACCCAACAGGCGGTCTGGGCAAACTGGGTTGCTGCCCCAGTCCATGCGGCCCCTCTTCATGCTGTGGTAGCTCCACGTCAGCGCGTTGCCTTGGCATCACCAGTGGGGCCAGTGTCTCCTGCATCAACCAGATTCCACCCTCGGAAGTCACCATACAGCCACCTCCTTGTGTCGTCACAATACCAGGGCCAGTTCTGGCTGCCAGCTGTGAGCCTCTCCGCGTGGGAGGGTACACGGCCTGTGCCGCCTGCCCCCCTTGTGGCCGCATCTGCAGTTAAGCTGGAAGGAGAGCTTCACAAGGATGGGAATGAAACGGCGACCGGAAAAGTATAGGACGGATCGACGGCTGGCGACTTCACGGACTTGGGTGTCAGAAAGCAGGACACTTCCCAGTTCAAATCAAGATCATTTGGTGCTTAACAAGATTCGAGAAGCCCATGTCCACAAACATGGGAACGTTACTTTGCATTCTCTCTACTCTTGCCTTGATTCCCCCCCCCCTCAGTTTCATTTTCCTAAGCGTATGTTGATTCTGACACCAGAAGGATATGAACGTCTTCCCTCTGTGGGCCTCCAAATATTTTGGGGGCTTACTAAGGTCTTCCTGTCTCGACAGTAAGCTTTGTTGAACACTGTATTCATTTGCTTTATGACCTTTCGGTTATCCCAAATGGGCAGTGGGGAAGCCACTGTTTGCTGAGTTAAGAAGGTATGATTGTTATCCCTGAAACTGCTTCACTGGAAATGAAGTCACCCCCTCCCCTTTCCCCCCAATAAAGCTTCAGTCTGCATCAACATTTCTTTTTGTGGATTCAGTTGCTTGTTATTTCTAAGAACTTGAAAAGTGGGGAGGGGTCATGGCTCAGGGGTACAACTCATAGGATTGGACCCAGATTCAATATCGGGCTCCTCAGTCGCAGGTAGCAGCTGTTGAGAAGGTACATGACACCATGATGAGCAGAGGCCCTTTACAGCCATCCACGTTGAGTCCAATGACTCAGTAGAAGGCAACATTGCCTATTCATACAGCTTGCTGGACCAGAACAGAGATCCTTCTAGTTTTGCAGCCAGCTAGACACTTTTTAGGGATGCCCCAATGAGACTGCAAAGGTATTTGTCCCCTACAGACTCCTGACCTCCAGTGGTTGGTCATTTGAGTCGTCTTGTTCCCAAACATGAAACTATTATAATGATAAGTGACCTACTGGCTAATACTTTTTAAAGCCATCTGCTCAATTGCCCGTTATGTTTATTTATATCATGAAAAAGATATTTGTCCTTGTCAGCTTCTTCAGGGACTCTCAGATGCAATAATTCCTTTAACAGGCTTTATTGAGAAATCAGGAAAGTTGCTGTAAAGTCAAACTCTTTGGCAGAAATGATTAATATTACAAAGTTGGGAATGACAAGACCTTCGGTCCAACCCTCTTCCATACGTTCAGTATTACATAGTGCATAGACAGCTTATTACAGTACAAACAGGATGGTGTGAATGTTATCATTTCATGTCTTCCCCAAGGCCATGAGAATTAGAAATGGCGATGTTCTCTCTGGCCTCTGTGGAGGAGGCTTCCTTTCCCAGTGGTGCTAGTGCAGCTAATCTACATACATGTCAGGGAAGGACCACGTAGACAGGACCTGCAAGTGTGGAGATGAAGCTTGGCAACCAGAAGTAAAGAGCTCAAGCTGGGCGAAAAATAACAGTGCGAAGCTATGTACATCAGAGAACCACAGTTACAAATACATGATCAATAGGCTAAAATTCGATCCTGACACTCCTCCCACTTTCTTTGAAAAGTGTTTTTTAAAAGACTTCCAATGGCACATTACCAAAGACAAAAACACAGACAGGAAAAGGAGGTAAAACAACAAGCAGCCATAAAAATTAAGCTATAGAAGCAGCAACAGTCTTTTCTGCACTATTTATTGTTTTACTTCCATTATTTGTCCTCCCCTTCTCACACTGAGACCCAACGCGGATGACAGAGTGGGAGTCAATGCAGTCAGTGTCGGGTGACAGAAATCTGGTACAAGGCATAATAAAAAAAAATTTAAGTATTTTTTAATTGAGATTTTTCCCATAACCCACACCCCACAAAGTATTACATAGAATATCAAAAACAATTTACATAGATGAGCATACAGCCTTAGTATTTCCATTAAACTTCATATCTGATCTTCTCCTAACCCATTCATTTTATTTTCATCTTAAGTAACTTTTCCCAATTCTTATTAGCTATTTCTTTGTCTTTCCCATTTAGTAACCTCGACAGTTTATCCATTTCAGCAACTTCGAACCATTTCTGCACCACTTCTAATTTGTCTGGGATTTTTTCGGTTTTCCAATACTTAGCGTAGCACATTCTGGCAGCAGTTATACAATGTATCATCAAACTCTTCACTTCTTTCCCACCTATTTCTGGTACGATATTTAATAGAAAGATTTCGGGATTTAAAGCTATAGGTACCTCCAAACCATCTTCTAACATCTTTCTAGTCCTCTCCCAATATTTTCTAGCCTTAGTGCATGTCCACCACATATGGAAATATGTGCCTGTATTCTGATGACATTTCCAACAAATATTTGTCGCGGTCTCAGAGTATTTTGCCAATCTTGAGGGATATAGGTACCACCTATGTGCCACTTTATAAATATTTTCCTTAAATGAAGTCGCCCTCGTAATTTTTATATTTGTCTCCCATATTTTCAACCATTTACACTGCTCTATATCATCAAGGCATAATAAATTAAACATGTCAGATTTATGGGGGAGGGTGCCAATCACGATGCTCATGGACGCTCTCCTTTGCCAAAGGTAGCATACCTCTTTATATCCTTTGCTCAGGAACGTGGGTGAGAGGATGCTTTTGCACTCATCCATTTCCGTTCTTTTATCAGGGCTCATAGACCATCTGGTCTGAAGCAAAACAGAGAAGAAGAAAAAATACAGTACTGTACAGACAAACAAGGGAAAGCACAAAAGCACAGAATTATTAATTTTTTAAAAAAATACATTAAAAAGTAATGCTACTAAATGCCATTGACAGAAAGTCTTGCAACTACAGGAGTCACATTTGGGTCAGTGTCAGCATAGTTCCAATCTCCTGCTTAACGTAAGAACGTAAGAGATGCCAATGTTGGATCAGGCCAAAGGCCCATCCAGTCCAACACTCTGTATCACACAGTGGCCAGAAATGCTAGGTGCCATCAGGAGGTCCAGCAGTGGGGCCAGGACATTAGAAGCCCTCCCACTGTTGACCCCCCCCCAAGCACCAAGATGACAGAGCATCACTTGCCCCACGGTCCCTATCTATATCTTGTGGCTAATAGCCACTGATGGACCTCTGCTCCATATGCTTATCTAAATCTAAAGCAGGGCTCCATTTTTGGATGTATAAAGGTAAAGGTTTTCCTTGCTCGAAAGCCAGTCGAATCCCACTCTAGGGGGTGAAAGCCAGTCGAATCCCACTCTAGGGGGTGAAAGCCAGTCGAATCCCACTCTAGGGGGCGATGCTCATCTCCGTTTCCAAGCCAAAAAGTCAGCACTATCCGAAGACATTTCCATGGGCATGTGACTAAACGCTGAGGCATACGGAATGCTGTTACCTTCCCACCGAAGCAGTACCTATTTATCTACTTGCAGTTTCTTGCTTTCAAGCTGCCAGGTTGACAGGAGCTGGGGTCAGAGATGGGAGCTCACTCCATCACGCAGCACTCGGGTCTCGAACTGCGAAACTATCGAACTTCCAATCTGCAGTTCAGCATCTTAACGACTGAGCCATCTGTCATGGGCAGTGTTATATTGGTTGCATCTATGAAACATGGTAAATATGTTGTTGAAGGCTTTCACGGCCGGAGTTCATTAGTTGCTGTAGGTTTTCCGGGATGTGTGGCCATGTCTTGGCATTGTAGAACCTGACGTTTCGCCAGTAACTGTGACTCGCATCCTCAGAGGTATAAACACAGAAAGATGGCGTACTCTCTGTGTCAAGGTGAGAAGAAAAATGGTAGGCAGGTAATTTATATCTACTCCAGAAGGTGGGTAGGGCTGAGTCATTGTCTTGTAGGAGTTCCCCAGGCTATGGACATGCTAATGGAGGAGCTTTCCTGAGGAGGTTCTTTTGTTTCCTGAGGAGGTTTCCTACTTCCTGAGGAGGCTGTTGGAATTCTAATCTTATCTGTAGTGCTATTGCCGGATGTAGAGCCTTTTGTGTGTTTCAGGACAGGAAGCCATGTCCTATTTATTTCAAATAGTCCCCCAGGCTATGGGTATGCTAATGGAGGAGCTCTCCTGAGGAGGTTCTTTTGTTTCCTGAGGAGGTTTCCTACTTCCTGAGGAGGCTGTTGAAATTCTAATCATATCTGTAGTGCTATTGTCGGATGTAGAGCCTTTTGTGTGTTTCAGGACAGGAAGCCATGTCCTATTTATTTCAAATAGTCCCCCAGGCTATGGGTATGCTAATGGAGGAGCTTTCCTGAGGAGGTTCTTTTGTTTCCTGAGGAGGTTTCCTACTTCCTGAGGAGGCTGTTGAAATTCTAATCATATCTGTAGTGCTATTGTCGGATGTAGAGCCTTATCTGTTTCAGGACAGGAAGCCATGACCTATTTATTTTAAATAGTTCCCCAGGCTATGGGTATGCTAATGGAGGAGCTTTCCTGAGGAGGTTCTTTTGTTTCCTGAGGAGGTTTCTTACTTCCTGAGGAGGCTGTTGAAATTCTAATCTTATCTGTAGTGCTATTGTCGGATGTAGAGCCTTTTGTGTGTTTCAGGACAGGAAGCCATGTCCTATTTATTTGTAAACTCTCTTCTTTCCTGGTTAAATTAACCGAGTGCTGGAGTAGAAAAGAGGAAGGGTCCAGTAGCACCTGAAAAACTACGAAAATTTGTGGTATGAGCTGTTGTGAATCACTGCTTACTGCCGCAGATGTAGGTAGGTTATGAGTCCCTCTGTCCTATGTATTGGAAAGTGGAGTGATTCCAGATGCCAGGTGATATTACTGAGTGCTGGAGTGAACCATAAATTGGGGTTAAGGTTTGGATTAGGAAATATTAGCAAGTGAAAATTATGAAAATTACTAATAAATTATTAAAAAATCATCAGTAGAAAAGAGTCAGAGTCCAGTGGCATGTTAAAGACTAACAGAATTTGTGGTAGGGTCTGAGAGTGAGTCACTGCTCACTGGAAGCATGGCGGTAGCAGCAGCGATGAGTCAAGTGGCCTGGACGGAGTCTGGGCCAGCAGGGCGCGGCGGCGAGACAACATGGTGGGCTGGAGCCAGTCAGGCCGGAGGCCAGCTGCGTCAGTACACGCTGTCGTGCACTGTGGGGCCTCCCCCGGAAGGAGCCGCTGCAGCCGAAGAAGATCTGCGCTGAGACGTCGTCATCCGGGACTAAGATGCTACGCAGGAAACAACAACCAAGAGACCCTGCCACGGGTGCCTGATAGGCAGTCATTTCCCCCAGTGTATGTGGCCCTAGTAAGGTAATGTAATTCTACTATGTAAACCGCTCAGAGCCCTTCGGGGATGAGCGGTCTAGAAATTGAAAGTAATAAATAATAAATTCTTCAGATATCCGAATCTGAAGCAGTGAGCAGTGGCTCACGAAATCTCATACCCTACCTCAAATTCTGTTAGTCTTTAACGTGCCACTGGACTCTGACTCTTTTCTACTGCTACAGACAGACTAACATGGCTACCTGTCCTGATCTAAAGATAATCAGTGAAGCATTAAGAATTGATTCAGCTATTCAAGACAGAGATTTTGAAATCCGATGCTACCT